CTTTTGCGTGCGGCCGTCCGCGAGTGTAACTTGCGTAGGTTGCGTCTTTCTTCGAACGCGCGGGCCAAGACCTGCGCGGGCCATAAAGGCTTGACTCATGAAGTTGCGAGACGCTCCGCAATCAATCAAGGCACTACAGGTTGCCTTTCCGATTTGAATGCGGATATAGAGCAAAGGTGCGTCGGTTTCGGCGTACCTTTGGGTGGCGTGCTCGCGGTCGATCTTCGCAAGATGGGAGCGGAGATCGGCAACCGCTACCCCGTCGTCCGTCAATGGAGCTGGTACTGTAGTGTGCAAGTAGGAGCGTTGAATTGCCATCAAGGCGTTGCAATGCGGCCTTGGCAATGTTCCGGTTGAGGGTAGAGGTATCCAAGCGAAATCCTCTCTTGTGAGCGGGTCAAGCTCTTCAAGTCTTGACCACGCCGTCGAGTCCTCGGAAATCAGTGGCGAACTGACCGGGTCACTTGCCGACGGTGTACAGGCTGCGCATACGCAATCTACATGCACGTGGCTAGGCTGGTCTAATGGTGGTACCAGCTGGGCGGCATAATCCTCGTACGTAGCACGAGAATCAGCGACAAACGCATGCTCCCCGGTAGTGACATCGATTGCTAGCAAGGAAACCGGGTCCAGCGGAGTGAGGAGAGACGTCGCCCCTCTCCTTGCGTAACTCAGTTTCCCGAGTTTGCTGGACGGGGTACGCGTGCCTTGCCCTTTTCGGGGCATTGTGCGGTCACATGAGTGACTCCGTTGCACCAAAGGCAGTATCCGTACTTCTGACGTAGGTCATAGACCTCCTTGGTGATCTTATATGCCATCCATGGCTGCTGCCCAGCTCCCGTCGCTGCCGTCTCTTGTGTCGCCTTGTCCTTACGAACTCTCTTGGGACACTTCGGCGGGAGCGCTGCGACAATTCCTCCATCACTCGAGGATGCTGCTGCAGCGTGGTGGTCGTCGGTTTCCTCAGAAATCACGGCATTGTTATGTGCCGGACGTTGATAGGCCTGCTTAGCCACATAATGCGGCTGGGATTGTCTATCGTTAGCGGCCTTGTCGTCCGTTTGGATGACCAAGTTCGCTCGATCCAGAATGGCCTGGAATGTGGTATAGTCGTACTCATTACTGAGTGCCGACCGCAATCCCGCGCACGATCGCGAGAAGAACTCGGATCGTTGATTTGGAAAACTCAAATCGAATCCTGGCGTGGTCACTATCTTTTGCCACTTCGTTGTCCAGTCTCGAGTTGGCATGTTCCCCTGAGAGCATGTGTACACCTCAYTCATGGCCGCCTTCACGACGTTGCGGACCATGAACCGGGTGAACCATAGCTGCTCGAACTCCTTCCACGTGATGTGCGTGTGGAGTTCGGCGATGGTGCACTTGTGGGTGGCCGCCAGGTGGTTCATCCATGCCTGCGCTCCTCCAATCAGTTGCAAATAGAGTGCCTTCAACATGTCATTCGCCGGGACAGTGCGGCATGACGCTTCCGTGAGGAAACGTTGCCACCATGTCAAAGCGTTCGACTTGTTGTAGTCGTCGAACTTGCAGATGTCGAAGTGCGGCATCTTGAATGTCTTTGTAGCGGTGTCCGGTCTCGTCTGTAGCTTGGTGATGTCCGTCTTGAGGGCGGCCACCGTGCTGCTGATCGTGTCCGGTCCGTTGAAAACACCTATGTCGTCGATGATGGTGACGACGTGATCGATGCGTTCGTTGATTTGCTTCGTCGCGTCCGTCGTGCAGCTTGGCGCTGCTGAGGCTTTGGCCTCAATGCCGTTGATGCGTGTGATGGTAGAGTTCATCAGCTGTTGCTGTTGCTGCTGCTGCACTGCTGTGTCGCGGACGTCGGCCGTTACAACGGCCAGGTCTTGCTGGTACTGCTGTCTTTGCTGTCGTTCCGCGTGCAGGTGTGCCTGCAGTAGTTTGTTGTTCCACATTACTCCCCTCATTACGTTCAACATCACGGTAGCCAGGTTACTTCTCTCTGCTTCCGCCTGTGTCGGCTCCGCCTGCGTTTCCGTAGGCACAAAGATCATGCCTTGGAGTACCGTTGTCCACTGATGCTCACTAGCAATCAGGGACTCCGTGCTGGCGGCATTCCGTTTGTTTCATGCTGCTTCGTCAGTCTCAGCTGTCCGCTGAGCTTCGGCTGTCGCTTCGTTGGCCAGCCGCTGACATTCTGCTTCTGCCGCAGCCTGCTGAGCCTCGGCGGCGGCTACGGCGTCTGTAAATGCCTGTAGCCGCCCACGATAGTCAGCCCAAGACTCGCTGGCCTCTCGGACCGGGCATGCGGGAAAATCTCCGGTGGTGTCTTGTACTATCAATGCCGTACTTGATGCCGCTGGAGTCGTCCGTCTGCTGAATCTCTTGGGTCTTGGAGGTACCGCAGGGCGGGCACGAACTGCGATCCTGGCACTGCGCCGTGGCAGTGCCCCGGTGTCCTGTTCCGTC